TAAAAATAAAATCTTTAATAAATAAATCAATCAATCAATTTTAAAGAGACATAAACTAATAGACACATGATGTTTCAGATTGGGAATCCAAAAGACTAAAAAAATCACTTTGAAATTAATTTGTTGGTTCTGTATAACTCCAATCAAAACTACAATGAGAATTTTTTACAACTCCAAATTAATTCCAAAATTTACCTGGGGAAAAAAATAACAGTTGAGAAGAGCTGAAACATGTGTGAAAAGGAATTGTGACCAGGCAGGTTCCTGACATACCACTTTTTTTTTTTAGATTTATTTATTTATTTGAGAGAGAGAGTGAGCACAGGGGGAACAGAAGGAGATGGAGAGAGAAACTCAAGCAGATCCTGTGCTGAGCACGGAGCTCCATCTCACGGCCCTGAGATCACGACCTGAGCCGAAACCAAGAGTCGGTCACTCAATCGACTGTACCACCCGGGTGTCCCCTGACATACCACTTTTAAAAGGTGGTGTAGACTTGAAAAAATTCACTAGGATGTATAATAAATAAATCACAAAAGTGGTTCACAAAGCAGTGGGAGGAAAGGAAAGCGTCATTTAAGAAATATTGTGCACAGAATAATGAATTAGCTACCTTTAAGAGAAACAAAAAATAACTTGTATCCAGACATGATATAACAAAATAAAATCCAAAGGGATTAAAGAAGTAAATATTTTCAAGTTGAGGCATTAAAAGTAGAAGGAAATGGATTGGATATTCACATATTCAATAATATTTATTAAATCCCAAATGAGAGAAAACTTTCTCAGCTTATACGCAATGGAAGAAATCACAAAGCAACAGGAAAAATAGATTTGACTCTAAAATATTAAAACTTCATATATTTAAATCAAATAAACAAAATTTAAAGGCAAATAAATAAAAATGCTAGAACGTGTGCAATACAGAACGTTAAAAGGTTTTAGATTTTTTTTTATTTTTCTTTAAAGATTTTTATTTCTTTGAGAGAGAGAGAGCACAAGCAGGGAGAGTGGCAGGCAGAGGGAGAAGCAGGCTCCCGCCAAGCAGGGAGCCCAATATGGGACTGGATCCCAGGACCCTGGGATCATGACCTGAGCCAAAAGCAGACGCTCAACCGACTGAGCCTCCCAGGGGCCCTTTTACAAAAATTCTTGAGAAAAACCCTACACCTCCAATTGGTAAAAGGCATGGAACAAACAATTTACAAACAATCCGGAATGGGACCAAAGCTATTATTACAAGGTAGCCTTATCCACCACTAATTATAAAAGTGAAAATGGGAAGCAATCTAATTGAAAAACAAAGATTAAATAAATCAGGGTGAAGGTATAGAATGGAATATTACACCAACATTTAAACTTATATTGAGAAAAAATTAATCTGGGGAAGGAGTCTGTTCCATGAAGAAGTACCATGCAGTTATATTTAGCTACATACAAAACATATTAAAAAAATATAAAAAGAATAAAAATTTGTGCAAAAAAGAAAACTTTGGGTCATTAAGCTTTTTTGTCTATTATATTAGTTTAGTAATAACCCCCAGTCACCTGATTCGGTTCACCAAATCCAGAATAGTTCATTGACAGTAATTTTGCCTATCAAATATAGATTTATTCACAAATGTAAATTTACGGAAATTAAATAGGGAATTTCACTTAAATGTACTTTGTTCAATAAGAGGAAAAAGAAGAAAATATACCTAAACGTTAACAAAACTGGGTATTGGGATTGTGGATGATGTTTTATTTAACTCTTTATACTATCTGTCATTGTCAAGTTTTTCTGCAATTAACATATCTTTTTTCTAATCAGGAAAAAAAATATTTTAAGAGTACTGAAACAAGCCCAGAAACTCTGAGTCCCTCAATTAACATAGTGCTAAATTTATCTACATAAAAAATTTATTTACAATCTAAATTGCATTTTACCATGTTAATAAAGGATTGAAATAATCAGCTACATGTGTGAGTTCCAATCAAATATATATTGAGTGGTCTAGGTGCGTGGCCCTGTGTGAAATAGTCTGATGGATAGGACGAAAGCCATCTGAGCATTCAAAAGCTCACATTGTACCTGAAAAATCAAGACATTAACAGGTGAAAAATCAAAAAGCAGAAGAGATGTCACAACAAAGCAGGATGAAGGAGTGGTATCCATAATACGTACTATCTCGGAGTATGAGATGAGTTGCTGTGATGAGATTGATCCCCACTCAACAGAACACTCAGAGAGGAGTCACTGAGTAGGAACTTTGAAGAACGAGCAATGGATGAATGGAGGAGGAGGGAAAGGGCAGTCCAGCGAAAGGCATCTGCCAGCCCCGGCTGCAGGGGAAGCCACTGTCTTCAACAAGTTTCCATATAAATTTGGCCACACGTAAATAAGATACGGCGGGAGAAAGCTGGATACACTGCAAGGCAGCCTCACAAGTAAGTGTAGGAAGATGGTGAGGAGTGGGGACTCAGTGGCCAGATGGCTTGGGTTTGGAATTTCAGCTCTGACCTTCTTGGCTATGAGTTGCTTTCTTTCTCTGGGCCTCAGTGTTTTATCTGAAAAACGGGGACAGCACCTGTTTCATTTTTTTAACTCACACACTTCGTGGGCATGTTATGTGCCAGCATCGTGCAAAGCATTTTGCATATATTACCTTATTTATTTTTAAATTTTTTAAAGTAGGCTCTCTGCCCAATGTGGGGCTCGAACTCACAACCCCAAGATCAAGAGTCACGGGCTCTACTGATGAGCCAGCCAGGTGTCCCTATTAATTATCTTGTTTAACCATCGGAATAACAAACTTATGAGGTAGTGTCCCCATTCTACATATGAGAAACCCCTTGAAGAGGGCAGAATTCAAACCCAGGCTGTTTGGGGCCAGAATCTTCACCATACTGCGTACAATATTTAAGAAGGTTAGTCGAGTGCCTGGCATATATAGGTGCTCAACAGGGGATGATCCTCAGACCCAAACAGAGGATTCAACACAAACTGGCTTAACTATAAAAATGCACCCATTTCCAGAGGGCCCTGTAAGAAAACGGGCTCACCCATGATTCTCAGATGAGAGGTATAAGCAACCCAAGATACAAAGCCATATGGTCCTGGGAAGTCCTCAGTCCTAAATCAGCAAGTATCCGAGGAATTGCAAGCAACTTCAGCAGTATTCGTGGATTCATTTTTGCTGGTTCCCACAAAACTCCAGGTGTATCGAAAGGGCCAAATCATCCTGTTTCATAGATTGCCCAACTAAATTTCAGAGACGCTAAGTACCTTCTACAGATTATGCTCGGTTTGTGAGTGCTTTGATGGCTGGGCCCATGTTGTCCATATTCTATACTCCACAATTCCTGGCAGAAGACTTAGAAACAATGTGTAGAAGAAGCAATTTGTCACGTTCTGTACACATTGCAATTCAGTCCATTTACCTAGAACCTTGGGGGAGCCTTGGGGGAGCCACTTAATGTCCCTGAGTCTCAGTCTCTCCTCTCCTGATTGGGAAGTCAAATGTCTCCCTCGTAGAGTTTATCCCGGGGGCTAAGTGAGACTGTGGAAACTTCCAGCACTGTTTCTGCTTCACTGTTGGGTCTCAGGGCCAGGGCGGGCTCCATGTGCCTGTCACCTATGCAGTCTAGTGGGGCGAGGGCCCCTGGATTGGTTTACTGCTCTGCTGTTGCCATCTTTAAATTCTTAATAATTTTTTAACAAGGAACCCCAGATTTTCATCTGCACTGGGTCCCGCCAATTGCCCATCCGACCCCACTCAAGGTAGGGTTTTGAGCAGAGTTGCCAAAGCTCAAACAACAAGGTCAATATACAGAGCAAGAAACAGGTGGGCCCATCACCAAGTCCTCCCCGAGTGCCTCATCGACACTTGCAAGCACGGAGCCTCCTGAAACTCCCAGAGGCCGGCGCTAAGCACACTCTGCGCTAACAACCAACACACTGCACTAACGTTCTCCACAAGCTGTTCTTTCCCTGTTTGACTTCGGTCAAGTCACTTGACACGTCTGTGCCTCAGGTGCCTCAACTGTAAAGAGGTGTTATTAATGGCACTGGCATCTTCAGGGTTGCTGTGAGGATAAGAGGAATTAATCTATGTAAAGCTCTTCGGACAGTTCCTGGCTCGGGGTAAACTCTAAGTAAGGGTCACGGATCACTCTTTGCAGTTAATCCACAACCTTCCTCTGTGACAGCATGCATTCTCTGACTCCCATTCACAATGTTTTCAGATTGCCACCCCAGTCCCTTCCCTGCACATATGCCAGTCTTTTGCAACTCAGAACAAATCTTAAAGAAAATATTCCTGCAGGGAGACGTTCTCTGGGATCTGGTTCCCTGCTGACTTAAAAAAAGAGTGATTAATTAATAACTATTAATGATGGAGCCCTTCACTGGGCACCAAATCTACTACTTGTCTGTTATCCTCATAGCAACACTGGAAGGTGGGTGGTTGTATAACCATTTTACAAAAGAAGAAACTGGGCGCCTGGGTGGCTCAGTTGGTTAAGCAACTGCCTTCGGCTCAGGTCATGATCCGGGAGTCCAGGGATCAAGTCCTGCATCGGGCTCCCTCCCCAGCAGGGAGTCTGCTTCTCCCTCTGACCCTCTTCCCTCTTGTGCTCTCTGGCTCTCATTCTCTGTCTCTCAAATAAATAAATAAAATCTTAAAAAAAAAAAAAGAAGAAACTGAGGCTTACACAGGTTTAGCAGAGTTCTTTGGTTCTAGTTCTGTCTGGATCCAAGGTCTACGCGGCTTCTAGCCGGAGCCCTGATTGCCAGTGCAATCGTAGACACATCTTAGGGCTTGGGAACAAGAGACTAATGTCCATCAAGGACAAACCGTTCAGTCTTAGGCCCCCTCCAAGCCAAATGCAACTGACTTCCACCCTCTGGAATCCCAGCACACAGACAGAGAATCCCCTGAGACTTCTGCACCTCTATGTTCACAGACACACACTCCTCCAACTAATATAAAAAATCCACCTCCCCAGATGATACTTACCCCTGGGACCACAAGCAAAGTCTGACCCCAGCTTGTGTTTCAGCAACGTCCTGAGGGAAACATCGTCCTCACCAACCCCCCCACCCCGACCCAGAAGCTTCTCAGTCATTGGAGGTCAGTCACAAATGTTTCACCATTGCCAAGAGGGCGGGGGCCTGATGCTCGGAAGATAATAATCTAGCTCAGTTGAGGACAGCAGAGTGAAGCAACAGATAATACCTTCTATCTTTCTCAGCATGGCTCTAACCTGCTCCTCTGCAGACAGTTTACGTAGATGGAGGAAATTAGTAGTCTCTTTATCTCCATGTGAATGCACATTTAAATACCACAAATATGCACATAGCCTGGTAGCATGGAAAGAGCACTGGCGGAGGAGTCTAGAGGCCTGGGTTCAAATTCCACCTCCCGCATTCACTTGCTGCATGAGTTCAGACAAACCACTTTCCCATCAGGTAACTCACGTTCTTCCTCTATAAAATGAAGAAGTAGGTCTCTAGATATTAGCAAAGGTCCCTTCCAGCCTGGCCCATCTTTGAATCTGTGTGTGATGTGGCCCTAGATTAAGAGACTGTGGATGGGATGTAGGGCAACAGATGAGGATCATTTTGCAAGGACAATTTCTTTGCCATTAAACATTAAATGACACCAACTTAAGATGGTTGTTGCAGTTTCTATGATCATATCAGGAAGGCAAGGAAGGCCAATTACAGGCTTTGGGTGGGTCTCAAGCTAAACCCCCAGGATTCAGATTTGGTAGTGAAGATGACATGAGGAGGCCAAAATGATCCTGCTATAAAACAAAGAAAGCAGAATTTTATAGGCCTCTGCGATGTCGCCTCCCTGTTCAGGACACATTAATCAGTGTAGAATCATGCTTCAGAATCAGATATACTCAGATTTAAACCCTGCTACACTACTTGGTAGCTGTGTGACTTGAGGAAAGTTGCTTGACCCCTCCGATCCTCAGTTTTTTCATTTGTAAAATTGGGTTAATAATAAATACCTAATTTTTTGAAACAAAAATCTCATTTGTTTAAAGTTAAAGAATACAAATAAATAGGCAAAACACTTAACAGAAGTTCCTTGCTGGGGTAAACAACAAATGGCAGTGATCTATCTTTTTATCTCTAAAATAAGTTAGAAAGCCGTCCCTTAGGCTGAGTCTTGCTCAGTGTTTTATGGCCCTTGATGTATCATCGGCTCACTGTGGAAACACAGCTGGAGCTGCCGTCTGCCTTCCTTTGCCTAAGTTGTGTTAAGAACATAGAGCCCTGTTATCACTCGAGATTTAGGAACCCACAAGAGTGATTTCCTAACTGGGCTCTCCATACTCTCCCGGTTCACCTGCCAATATCAAATACACTCCTCTGTGCTCCTGATTCTGCCATGAACTCTATTAACCTCAAGCTGCAGTTAACTTACAGGGACCAAGCTGAGTCTTGACTCTTCGTTTACCCTTTGACGTGAACCTGGTATGGCTATGGCAGTGGCCAGAGCTGTGTAAGCTTCACGCAGCTCTGCGCTTCTGTGTGGACCACTCTTGGACCAGAACCTTCCATGATGCCACTCCGAGGCTCACCGCATTGTGTCGTTAATCAAGGATCTTTGAACGGGACGTATTCGGGGTCCTCCATGTGTGCACTCTCACTAGACAGTGATGCAACCACAGAAAGTCCACTTGACTTGGACGTCAGTGCCCTAAAGATCTGAAGCATTTGACCTCTCCGGACTGTATTTTCCTCAGATAGGACTGGAAGGAGTTTTGATTAGATCATCCATGACTCTGCTTTACAGAGCCAAGTAAGAATTACTGAGGGTCTCTGTGTCCTGGGTGGCCAGAACTCTGCCTGCACCTGTAGTAGGATGGTGGCATGAATAAGAGAGGGAATAAAGTCAAGTGCTCTGTTACACATGCACGGGTGTACACCAGCAGCTCACGCACGCACCGCCTAACCGCTCGCAAACACCTGCCAAAGATGAGCTGAGGATTCACCCACAAAGGCACTTAGCCTGCTCCTGCCCAGAGGCCCCTAGGAATGCGTTCCTCACATGGTTCCCCATCCAGGACGCAACTGCCCAGGCCCACATGATATGGCCCTCCTCTCTCTGCTTTGAGCTCGACAGACTCCAGCCCCAAAGGCAGGACTCGAGGGGAGATCAGAACAGTGATAAATGAAGTTATAACATCTGTAACAGCAACAGGAAGCTATTTTTGATAGTTTGTCACCGGCTGGAGTGGCTGATGGACATCGATAACACGCTTTCCCCTACCTTCCCCAGACGGTTCATGAGACCGCATCCCTTCCCAAGCCCCTTCCCCTGTGCAATGCCTCCAACAGCTGCAGGGTACAGGGTCTCCCAGAGAACACAGCTGCTGTCTGCAGGAGAAGCTATTTTCTCTCTCCATCTTTAAGGGAAGAAAATGGTGTGTCAACAGGAGTAGGGATTTTCTGGCAAAGGGAAAACACCTTGCTCGCTATGCAATCATTCTAATATATTTTCCCTACTACTTCCCCTGCATACTTGCTTTTTAAAAATAATTTTTCCAAATTGTTTTCCACATTATAACAAAGAAGCTTTTAAAACCCACAGTTCTGGTTATGTCACCCTCTGTTAAAAACTCTCCCGTAGCTTCCCATTGCACTTAGGATGAAATCCAAGATCCTGAACAAGATCTTATAAGGCTCCCACTACCTGGCAGCTACCTACCCTCTTAAAGCTGTATCTCGGGTATTTAGCTTGCTTTTCTCTCTTCACCCTCTTCCAGGCTCCCTCCATCCTCAGGGTGTCTGCTCAAGGGGTTCCCTCTGTGCCTAAATGGTTTTCATGGTATTTTTTTAAAGATTTTATTTTTAAGTAATCTCTACACCCAATGTGGGGCTTGAATGCACAACCCTGAGATCAGAGTTGCATGTTTACTGACTGAGCCAGCCAGGTACCCCTTTACCGCCTTTTTAATGGCTACATAATATCCACCTTGCTGGTCTAACCCTAAATTTCAAACCATCCCTTGGGTCATCACTCAGTTGTTTCGTTTTTTTACTATTGCAGATAACACTGTCATGGATAACTTTGTATACACAGATTTTTTTCCCCCCTTAGTTCAGATTCTTTCCTTAGGAATAAGTTCTAGAAGTGAATATCTAAGTTCAAGGAAAGTGCACTTATGGTTCTTGCATCATATTGACCTTCTGCTTTCAGAAGATGTATTCCATTAGCAGTATTTGAGCATGTTCATTTATCTACAATCTGGAGAGCAATGAATTATCATTTTTCAGTAATGATAGAGTGTTACTGCCATGAGGGTTTTAATTTATTTTTTTCAAATCTGTTTATCATTAGTAATAAAGTGTTTTACTATTTATTGAGCAGCAGCAAATGTAGCAGTTGCTTCCTATACACTAATTCATTTAATCCTCACAACAAACTTACAAGGAGGATACTGTTTTAAAATAAAGAAACTGAAAATTGGGGAGGTTCTCAAATTCAGGGTTATTGTAAGTAAGTAGCAGAACCAGGATTCACATTCAGATCTTTTATTATTATTTCAAAAAGCCATTTGCCTTATGCCATATTTGTGTGCCTTCTGTATGCCCTAATGGACTTTGTGCATAGGTGAGTAGGTCAGCATGCCATGGGCAGGGTGCGGCACAGAGCCCTCCGTTCACATGACAGCACACAGGAAGCACCCAGCCCCGTGCCTTTCCAGAGTTAGTGGTCTACAGGCAGAAGATTCCTGCTCCCGGCCGCTCCCACCGCTCCTGTCCTCTCTTCCAGCTGAAACTTTTTATTGATTGGGGGCCTTGTTCTATAACCTGAAGCTTAACCTCAGGGACAGATGCCCTAAAATGCCCACCTCACAGAGTTGTTCAGGAATCAATGAGCCTGCATGAAGTACTCTGTGGACGACAAAACACTCTGCAAATGTTCGGCTGTATTATCTTTTTCTTCCCCCTGCTTTTTAAAAGATTTATTTATTTATTTATTTTAGAGACAAAGAGCACGTGGGAGCAGGGGAGGGGCAGAGGAGAGGAAGAGAATCTCACACAGACTTCCCGCTGCGTGCAGAGCCTGACCTGGGGCTCAATCCCAGTGTGTATCATCTTTTAAAAATAGCATACAAGGAAATGGAGAGTGGCAGCTACTGAGAGCTGGGATGATGCAAATTGTTCTAAAATTGATTGTGGTACTAGTTGTGCATCTCTGTGGATATGCTAAAAACCGCATGAGTGTTAATGAGTGAATTGTATGGTATGTGAATTCTACCTCAATAAAGCTGCTACTAAAAAAGAATTATAGAAAAAATTGACGGTTTTCCTACGATGGCCACTATGTTATTCCCCTCCAAATGGTTCTGCCATTCATTCATTCTGTGGGTATTTCTTGATGGTCTTTGATGCACCTGGCCCTGTGCCAAGCATTTGGGATACCGAGTGAAGAAGATAGACGTGGTCCTCATCCTCATGTGCGTGGGATCATAGACGTCAGATAAGAAATCACACAAAGGGGGAGCCTGGGTGGCTCAGTTGGTTAGACGTCCAACTCTTGATTTCAGCTCAGGTCATGATCTCAGAATCTCAGAATCTTGAGATCAAGCCCTGAGCCTCCTTAAGATTCTCTTTCATCCGCTCCCTCTGCCCCTCCTCTTTCTCTCTCTCTCTCAAAAAATAAAAATAAGTACATAAATTTAAAAAAAATCACACAAAGGTGTGACGAATGCTGTATTCTGGAAAGTTAAAAGGAGTCAGGGAATAGATAGCAGAGGGGCTCATCACGGTCTTTGGTCAGAGAAGCCCCAGCTTCTGTCTGCAGTTAGAGATGTTGATTTCAGTGGCATCCAGAAGCCTTTGGGAGTAAAGTAAGAGGACAAAGCTCCCAAGAGGGAGCCCAGAGGGGCTCCAATATCAGAGGACAGGGGGAGCCTGACCAGGAGACCCCAAAAGCATGGTAAAGACATAGCAGGAATGGGACAGGAGTGCACAGATACCAGGCCTCAAGGAACATCCATCTAACATGTTGGAGCCCCCAGCTGTCCCCCCACCTCCACTTTCCTTGGGCAATCAAGATTGCCCCAGTTGGTGTGTTTCCAGGGGATGTCGATGAATTTACTAGATCCAGTTTTCAACATTCCATGCCCAAAACCGTATTTTCAGAGTCTATTAGAAGAGTACACTGTTTTTGCAAAGTCTGAAATACCTCCTTTTCTAAAAACGAGAATCCTTTGAAAATGAAGGACATTCCTCTGTACTCATCAGTCTCGTTATGTTTGGAACTTTGTACATTGTTGTACATTTCATCCGTCTGGGCTAGCCTACCTTGCACACAAATTTTCTTCCACTGTTTTGTGTCTATGTTAGCTCCCCACTTAGATGATCAGCTCCTAAGGAAGTGAAAAATTGGGGATCATGCGATTTATCTATTTACTGAGTTCCTTTTTATGAGGAGCTGCTGCTAAATGATATTTGAGGCAGGTTCTCAAAACAAAAAAACATGTGTTAATGGATAATGGCCAGTCCCTTCTAATGATGACAACACAGTCCTGCTGATCTAGTTCGCTCAACTAATCAATGAGAAACAACTCCTTAAACATAATCAATTGTAATAACTGGTTGGTAATTCTTCACATTTTCTATCGCATCTTATAATTTACAGAATATTTTCATGTAACATCATCAGACAACACCTGTTAAAGTAGCCATTGTTATTTCCAACTTACAGATGAGAAAGCCTGGACTTAGGGAAATTAGTTTATTTGGCAAAGGTTGAGCCAGAAGCAGGAATTAAAGGGGTGTGTTGTCTGTAGAGGATTTTAAAACAATAAAACTAAAGGCAGTCTATTTTTTATTATCACCATGTGCCAGTAATTCTAAATAATGTCAGTGATAAAATACTCCTCCCTGCTGGGCACTGGGAAGCTGGCTTTTTCTATCCTCCAATAGAAACATTAAGAGAGCAAGTGAGCCTCATTTCCAGTCACAGAGATTTCTCTTAGGACTTTGCAAAGTATTTCATGTTTCAAATCCCTGTCCTTGTTAAAATAGATACATTTTCTTTGGGGGTTTTCAGAGCCTTGCAGGATTATGCTTTTCCAGGAGAAAGAACAGTTGCCACAATGTCTAGAAGCTACTCAACCTACTTAACAGAATTTCCTAAAAATCTTCTAGAAGATCAGCATCCGATTCACTCACTCAGCAAAATGCTCTGAGCAGCTCCTCGGAGAGTGATACAGGGCAGGAGCCATGCGTGCGGGTGGAGAGCAAAGAGAGGAAGACAGCTACCACCGCCAGGCTGCTGAGCTGTGGACAACTTCTTCTGAGGATAAGCTAGAGGAATTCGTCTTAAAGCCAGGACCTGGGTCCTTTTGGAGCACATAACTCACTTGCCCTCCAGGCTTTAGCTGGAGATATCCAGAATTCTCCCATCCAAACTGGGAAGGGCAGCTCTTTGCTCCAAAGTCACAAAGGTTGATATAGTATTGGAGTCCTAGCTATTTGCCCAGACCTGACGGGTCTCCCGGAACCTAGAATTCTCAATGCTAAAACTGGGACAGTCCCCAGCAAATCGGGATGGTTGGTCATCCTTCCTTCTAGTTGTTAAGATTTTTTAATTATCATTAAGTGTTCATTTAACTGGTGTTAGAATCACCATGGGTCCCAAGATTGGGGCAGAGAAAGCCTGGGCAATATCTTTATTTTAGATATCTATAGGAGCCAGCACCAAGGTGGGCTTGCACATGAGCTCCAGGAGGACCCTAGAGTAGGATTCCTTAGGAGCAGTGTTGCTGACGTTTTGTGAAAGACAATTCTAGTTTGTGGGGGGCGGGGAGTGTCCAGCGCATCGTAAGACGTTTAACAGCATCTATTGGTCTCTACCCAATGTCAGTAACACACACACATCCCCCACCTGATTGGGACATTCAAAAATGTGTCCAGATATTTTCAAATGTCTCCTAGAAGGGGGAGCGAACTTTCTCCCAGCTGAGAGCTACTACCATAGAGAGATGTCTCTTGCTGCTTCACTAAGAATTTGGAGCTGTTGTGCACAAATCAAGGCTGGTGGAGGGGTGTCCTGGCTTCAGGCTAGGCAGTCACCCCATTTGCCACCATGAAAGTCTAGAGGCTACTCTGCACCCTCCCTGGTCACCGGGGTCCCTCTGTGACAGAGCCACCTAGGCAGGTACCCCCTTATACCAGCTCTTCCCACAGGTGCTACAAGGAATACTTTCTGTCCTATGGGATGCTCGTCAGGGAGTGAAAGGGAGTTTAAAGAAGACCACATGGTCATTCACAGAATACATTACATATTGAAGGCTCTGAGAAGTCTTGCACTAAAGAATCCTGTTTAAATTTTACAACCCAGATTTATGTAGAGGTCAATCTACCCATTAAGATTTAATACCATTGGCTCAATATTCTAGCCGTTGGTTCTTTGGAAATTCTGGGGCCCTCCCCTAGATTTCTGAGAATTTCCAGAGGGTTTGTGTTCTCACTTCCAGCTCTGAGTTCAGCCTCCCTCCGACTTGTCCAACTCATTCATATAGCACCTTTTACCACTTCCTTCTTATTTCTGCTCTATGCTGACCAAGATGTGTATTTCAGTCCCCTTTCCCCTTCCCCAAAATACCTGCACCAGGCATTGGTGTGTTCAGCAGGCTTTCCTGAGGTTTGTAGTGGCAGCAGTTTTTTATGTGACTTTAGCCCCTGTTCCCCTCAAAACTTGCTGCATTAACCCCCTAACTCATGATTCTCCCAGCCTCCTCCACACCCCCTCCAAATCATTCTCACTTTACTGTACAAAACATCTTCACTTTCCCTTCCTTACTTGGTCTTAGACCTTCTTTTGCTTTTTCAAAGCCTTGTTAATGGGTGACTGCATACTGTACCATCCAAACTATGACACTTTTGAGTGAAAGGGGATCTCATAATAATGTCGCTGGGACAGCACTATACACCAGGAAAGTCCCTAGCATACCAGGGCACATGATAAGCATACATCTCTGCCAAAACAAAGGGCTGTCTACTCCTGGACTTGCCCTTGATTGACACAGAAAAGATGGCAGAGGGTTGGAAATATTAGTGCTTCCTCTCTACCACCTCCCCCTCTCCTCTTTCCCCATGAATGGAATGGAGCCATAGAGTACAGTGTTCTTATTGACGTGAACCTGGCTACCCTCCCTACAGGACAAGCAATGGCTTCCACCAGCTTTGGTTTTAAGCGAAAATTTCTTTTTCTCCATTGCTCTTTGCTTATTCATCATTTCCCAAACTTATTTGGTCCTAGATTTCATTTAACCTCTCCATCCCTAATCGATTAATGTCTCCCATAACTAGAAGGACACACTTTGGGGAACTTTGAGCTCAGAGGCAGGGAGGACCGCCTAGAACTCATTTTCTAAAGCTAAGGCAAGGAAGACTGCCTTAGAACTTATTTTCTAAAGCCATTTGGACACAAATTTTGAGTAGATTAATTCCAATAATGGCCATTTAAGTCACCTTGGGTGATGAAAGGATTAAGGTGGCATAAAGATCAGGCCTGAGGTTCAGGCATCCCCTGTGAGCGAGGAGAATGCTGGAGATCAACGGAGAAGAGCCACGGGAGTGCAGAGAGTGGCACGTACAGCCAGAGGCCTAATCCCTCCCAAACCAGGCTGCTCTGAATGAACATTTGGTGGAATATGCTTTGGGAAATGCTGCTTTGGATTCCTGATTCCCAAACTCAGGTGACTTGTTGCACAAACCTCATCTCCTCATACCGTTTCCCTTCCACGCCAAACACACTCACCTCCTTGTTATTCTTTGACCATGTAATGTATACTTCCACCCCAGGGCCTTTGCATTTGCTATTCCTTCTTCCCAGAATGTCCTTCCCCATTTACCATCACTTCCTTTAGGTCAAGTAATGGTGAGGCCTCCCCTGATCATACAATGCAAAATAGCACCCCGCTCCCACCTGCTGTTCCCTACGTTCCACAACTTGCTTTATTTTTCTCCATAGCATATGCTCCCATCTGTGTTGCTCATTTGTTCATTGACTGTGTCCCCCTCCTAGAAGGTAAGCTCTGTGAGGACAAGGTTTTGTCTGTTGGGGTCACAGCTAGATTCCCAGAATCTAGAAAATGGTGATGTTTAATACATGTTTTCAAATGAAGAAAAGGAGGAGAAACCCAATTGTAATTCTAGACATCTTCCAAAGTTCCCACAGAGCTGTCCCTGGTCAGTGGTGACATGTAGCCCACTTCCGCCAGGCATTCCTCCCACACTCCTTTCCCGGGGGGCCCTCCATGCCTGCAGGCACTCACCAGGCCTTGCTCCCTCAGTAAGAAGCATTTCACATGTCTCTGCTGCCCCTGCCACCTCCTCTCCCCACACCTGCTATACTGCGCAGCTGTTCTGGCAGGCAGACATACAGGGTAGGCAACCATTCATGTCTCCATAGACATGAGCAGGGTGTTAATTCTTGACAAGGCAGAACAAGAGAGACACAATCCAGAAGCTGAGCCCTGAGCAGTATGAACCCTCCTCGTCAACCCTAGCTTCAGGAGGGGCAAGAGCCAGAGAAGTCTTCTTAGTTGTCTCAGGAACCTGCTTCTGGGGCTGGGGTGGCTTGGACCAGCATGTCTTTGTCTCTCGTATGCCACTCCTTCCCATTAGAACTGCACTTTGTTTCCAATAAATTAGAAGAAATACCCAGCCATTTACAGTCATTAGAATATGTTTTATGCATTTTTCTAAATAGACACACACACACACACACACACACACACACACACACACACACACCCCACCCATCTAAAGCACAAGCCAACTCAGGATCCAGCTGGGGCATAGGTCTGACGCTCCACCTGAAGCATCTCGCTGGCTTCCCATCAGTGGAATACAATGGAGGCATATTCCACTCGGTCTGGTGAAGTCTTCCTGGGGCGGTCGAAAGGGGGCACGTTGGCATAGACAGCGAAGTCATCCCCTTTCCAGGGAGCCAGGTTGATCACATTGGAATATATGGCATCAGCATGGCAGGAAAGCTCCTTCAGAGATAGGACCCCAGTTAGAGATAGATATCTAGGCACTAGAGACTTCCGTAGACAATACCAGCTACTGGGTCCCCTGGGGGACTGCAGGTGGAATATTGGGTTTTTGCCAAGCAAACCTTGGATTTCCCTCTATCTTCAAAAACATTTACTTTAGGGCTGTTTTCTCCCTCATCCCCACTACCTCCTATATGGGGTCTACATAGGAGACAGCATGGAATCATGGCAGAGGTGACCAGAAGCTCCTCTAGGTACAATGACTATTTCCTTACCGAAGTTTTATGGAGAAAGCTGGTCTGGTGCCTCAGTTGTTTCTTAAATAGTCCTAGAAAAATTAATAAATTCAGAGTCAGCTTGAGTGGGCATAGTAACTATCTTGACTCGGTTGGTTGCTGGGCTTAGGTTTGAACTTTGATATGCAAAATTCACTGTATTGAACCCACAAGGGCTCCTGAGAGGAAGCTAAATGCCCAAAATGAGATGCGAGAGTGAGCACTATTGGTACACTTTATAATTTGGGTTACTACTTAGATGAGGTTATGTGGCATCAATATTTCTCTTAGTTGATGCCATAAACCATAAGTATATATGCAGATTGCTTGTATATGGCGTTCAGCATAAAGAATTTGTACCATAAATAAATCTGTTGCTCTATGCAGAGTTTCTGGTAGCTCTAGAGAACAGACACCAGAGCTCACCATTCCTCCCACTCCCCAAGGCTTGCCCCCTAAGAGAGACATCCCCATCTCCACCCTTGTTCCAGGGCCAGCTTGTTCAACTCACTCTCATGTCTCCATTTCTTCAGCATCATGGACAAGAGACCCACCAGGAGCAAGATGAGAGCCACAACACCAACAGAGCCAGAAATGGCGGCAGCTGCAGTGCCTAAGCTGGGGGAAGCAGACAAGAGAAACGAGGATGTCCCAGCTGCTTGGCCGGCATTGGTGACCCTCCAAAGAATTGCCCTGGGGCCTTCCTACTCTTGTAGGAGCTCTTCCATCGCTAGGCTTCCATGTCTTGGGTACCCAACCATTTCCTGCCTCCATTTCGAGCCTCTCTCCTCTGCCCCAACCTCCAGAGCCATGGTCCAACTCACACCAATCCCCACACCCAGGCCAAGCAGACCCTTCCTCCACAATTCCCAATACTACTCGTCCATGGGTCCAGCCCTTCCTTCATCTACCTGTTGAGTTCATCAAGTTTAGCCTCTGGCTCCAAGGTAGTGAAGTTTTCTGCAGAAAGGAAAAGGAAAGGAAATCTGAGAGTAATTTTCACACACATGCTATTGCCTGAATGTTTGTGTCCTGCCAAAATTCATATATGAACTCCTAACCCCCAATGTGATGGTACTAGGAAATGGGGCCCTTGGGAGGGAAGTAGGTCATGAGGGTAGAGCCCTTGTGAATAGGATTAGTGCCCTGATAAAAGAGGCCCCCATAGAGCCCCCTGTCCCCTTCCACCATGTGAGGACACAGGGAGAAATGGTTATTCCTGAACCAGGAAGTAGGCTCTCACCAGACACCGAATGTACTACTGCCTTATCTTGGATCTACCAGCATCTAGAACTATAAGAAACTAATTTCTGTTGTTTATAAGCCACCCAGTCTATGGTCATTTGTCAGAGCAGTCCAAAAGGACTCACAGCACACATGCAAATGAGCTCTACAGGATATCAATGCAATATTAGTTACCATTTATTGGGGACTTGATATCTGCCAGGCACATTCATTATCTTACTTAATCTTCATAAATAGACAATGAGATATGAATAATTGCTAATAAAGAAACCAGTTCAGACAGAGATCAGACTTGCTCAAGGTCCTAGAACTAGTAAATGGCAAAGTTCGGACTTGAACCCACATCTCTCTGACTTCAAATAGTGTGTGTACGCATGTTACACTCTGCTGTCTTTGTGTGGCCATTTCACTCTCAAGTTCTCCCCCTTACAGAGGGTTAAGGGATACCAGATGTGACAGGATGTTCAGAAAAAAGATAACCAGAATGATGCAGATGAGGGGTACCCAGAGAGGGACATGTGGTGGGGTTGGAAGGGGTCAGGACCCTGGAAAGTTGGGCTGATACTGGGTGGAGGTAGCAGGTGTGAGAGCTTGCCCAGACTGAGGGGGGGGGGGGTGCGGTGCTATTCTCCACAATGTGAAAACATTTCTCCTGCGTCAAGGGATGGAGACACCAAGCCCATCCCCTCTCTGTCCCTGGATTCTCAGAGTCAGAAGGAATCTTAAAACATACCTAGTCAAACCCTCCCACTGGGCCCGTGAGAAGCTTCAGGATAAGCCACTTGCCCCACACAAGTGCTGGAGCCATGGAGTTTTGGACTCCAAACCCAAAGCTCCCTTTGTCTGCACTCAAGTCCCTCCCACTTCCTCCCCCCCATAAAGAGGAGCTGCACAATTTGGCCCCTATGGCAGGTAGCACCTCTCCAGACACGCCTCGGGAGCTGGCTTGTCAGGCACCCAAATGCAGAGATTGTTGCTCAGGTTGGGTAAAGGGAACATATTGCATCCCTAGGGCGACCTGATACCCACCAATGATAAATAGTATCTAGGAGGGGACCCACCAAGAATCACAGCCTCTTGGGGCACTAAAAGCCAAATAGAATTGCATCAGGCACCTTCATGGTCCGCTTCCCCTCTGTCTTTCTCTCTGCCCCCCTTCTGAGTAAGATAGTTGACCTCACCAAGTTTCTCTTTGACAAGCTCCTGCCCACCTTCCGAGTGAGGAGTAGGGAGGGGATTTGGAAACCAGATCTTCCCAGTGCCCGTGGCATCAACACCGAAGATGAGGAGCCAAGTCATAGGGCTTGATGTGCAGGGGGATGTGCACATAAGCCTGGAGCAGTGAGAGGAGAGCCTGGGGCACAAGAGGGGGTGGCTGGCTGGGATAGGGCACACTTGTTTATGACAAGGAGGACAGACAGCATGAGGAGGTCCCTCCAGGGTTAGGAAGGCAAGGACATACCTGGGAAGGCAGAGGAGGGTCAGTGGGAATGAGGAGAATGAGCGTGAAGGATAGTCATGAAAGAGCCTGAACTCCAGGGTCCAGTGACTTGGGTCTCAGGGCACTTTCTAACTGCGTGATCTTAGGACAGTCACTTAACTTCTCTGAGCCTCATTTTCTTCATCTGTGAAATGGACATATTAAAAATACCTACTTCGGCAAAAGCCAGGCTGACCTCCACTCTGCCGACCCTGACTTCTCTTCAGAAACCTCAAGTCCCACCCAAACCCAAAGAACTGGAGGATGAGGTTGATTACGTGGTCCCTGTGGACGATGAAGATGAGAACTACATTCACCCCACAGAAGACAGTTCATTCCCAGCTGAAAAAGCTCCCATGGTGAATAGATCCACCAAGCCAAATAACTCCTCAAAGCCAGCCCCTCCTCCAGGGACAGCTTCAGGTCGTAACAGTGGGGCCTGGGACGCTAAGTCACCTTCTCCTGCTGCACCATCCCCGCTGCCCAGGGCCGGGAAAAAACCAGCTACACCCCTGAAGACAACTCCAGTTGCCTCTTCACAGAATGCCGCAAGTGTTTGTGAAGAAAAACCTGTACCTGCTGAGCGCCACCGAACAGCTAGCCACAGACAAGAAAATATGCAGTCATCAGTGTTTCCTCCTGCCCAGAAACAAATCCATCACAAACCCATACCTCTGCCAAGATTTCCAGAAGGGGGAGGCTCAACTGTGGATGGCCTATTTTCATCTAACCCCCATTTGTCAGAACAGGAAGCGGACCTTCACTGCAAGCCATGGTACGCTGGTGCCTGCGATCGGAAGTCTGCTGAAGAGGCTTTATACAGATCAAACAAGGATGGATCATTTCTTATTCGGAAAAGCTCTGGCCATGATTCCAAACAGCCATATACACTAGTTGTATTCTTTAATAAGCGAGTATATAATATCCCTGTGCGATTTATTGAGGCAACAAAGCAGTATGCCTTGGGCAGAAAGAAAAATGGTGAAGAGTACTTTGGAAGTGTTGCTGAAATTATCAAGAATCATCAACATAGCCCTCTGGTTCTTATCGACAGTCAGAATAATACAAAAGATTCGACAAGACTGAAATATGCAGTTAAAGTTTCATAGATTTTTTTGAAAAAGGTCAACATCATTGCTTCAGACATTTTCCTTATTTCTACTTTTGAGAAAAAGTCCCCAAACTTCGTATTTTGGATTCTGAATCATCCAGTAATAGGATAGAAGATGGAGGCAGCTACTGAGGTGGTCATCCATTGCTTTATAAGAAGCTCACACGGACTTGTTCTATTGCCTGACCTGATGAACTGTGAATATTTGGTGAGGTTGAGTTATCATGCTACTAATATTCTCCAAATAAACATCTTTATTTAAAAGAAAAAAAAATACCTACTTCACAGAGCTGAGAACTAAGTGGTCAGACTATGATTTAATAGTAAGTAATAGCCACTTGACCTTGGGCTGGTTTTCAGCTGGTCTTACCGGAGCAGAGCAGTGGTGTGGGGTCGTCCAGGAAGGCATTGCTGCTGGCTCTGGCGTTCTGGAACCTACAGTTGGTCCAATTCATTTCTCCAGGAAGTCCACCCAGACAGTTCCTGTGCCAGGTCCTGAGGGTCGTAGGGCAGGTGGTTTCCTTTAGCTGGAAGCAGAGTTTCTCAGAGGTATTTAGCAGAAGCTGGCAGACACGGAACCCCAGGGAACCGGCCCCTCTCTTCACCTTTCTTATTCCACCACGGAACCTGTGGGGTGGGCCAGGTGTTAGCATCCCACCAGTGGAGGGGAGGTCCTCAAAGAGCATTGCGAGAGCATTTCTCTCCAAAGAAAAGCATCTTCAGATAGTCCTCCCGCAAGCACGTGGCTGGAGTGGACTCCCCAGCCTCTCTCTGTCATGTCACCCTCTGATCTACCTGTATATGAATTTACCTCTATCATTTATTTGGTTTTTGACTACTGTCAGTCTCTCATCGCAAGAACACAAGCTCTGCAAGAACACTTACCTGTTTTCATCAGCGGTGCCTCCAACAGTGCCTACGCAGCCAATAGCTCCCATATGTATCTGGTGAACGAACAAAGGAAAGCCAAAAACTGCTTTCTAGCACCCCGACCAGGGCCACGCAGCCTCTATCCATCGGAGTCGTGGCGAGCCTCAACCACAGACTTTTGCATCCCTTCGTTGATGGCAGACCTTTATCCTTTGAAAGGGAAGTTGATTTGAAACAGCCCAAAGTCCCTCTGAACCAACCAAGCCATATGACAAAGCGGTGATGGAGTGTGACAAAGTAGGTGGTAAAGTGGGTAATGTCGATTTTAGAAATAGGGGAGCTGTGCCTACCACACACTGAAAGCGGTGTCCTGGAGGCACCTGCAGGAGGATGTCCTTCCTGGGTGTGGGGTAGAGTCAGGGAGACGCACCCCACCAGGCGCCATTGAAACCACTCACCCTCTGTTCAGGGTGTGAGGCGAGGATAAAGGTATGTTTAAGACCAAATAAAAGAGGATCTGTCCCCTCTGTACCCCCCACCACATCCCCCTAAAAAGATCTGCAGAAGCAGGTAGGAAATCCCCAAATGAACCAAGATGCCAGGCGACGCGGATGAGTCCCTTAGCCTGCTGGACTCAGTATCCCTATTTGTGAAATGGGGCAAGGGCGACAAGAATAAGGCACCACTACAAAGATAGCCAGTTCTTGTCACAATGTCCCCTTCTAGTGTCCCCAAGGCACATGGCCCCTTGCTCTTTGTACATTCCTTCTGATAGTCATACTACTCAAGGACGACTAAGGACTTTTCTTTGGAGAATAGCCTTTCTAAGTGTTAGGAATTATTTCATTTTTAATTTTGGAGGGAGGAGGGAACATCATAATCTTTTTGGTTTGGAGCTTCTAAAAGTTTTTGTCTTATTTATTTATTTAGATTAAAAGTTTTTGTTTTAGTAGGGAGCATTCATATCATTCAGAATTTATTTTTTATTTTTATTTATTTTTATTTTTTTTTAAAGATTTTATTTACTTATTTGAGAGAGAGAATGAGATAGAGAGAGAGAGAGCATGAGATGGGGGAGGGTCCAAGGGAGAAGCAGACACCCTGCTGAGCAGGGAGCCCGATGCGGGACTCGATCCCGGGACTCCAGGATCATGACCTGAGCCGAAGGCAGTCGCTTAACCAACTGAGCCACCCAGGCGCCCTCATTCAGAATTTAAAAGATACAAAAGGATGGTCTTTGAAAAGTTGCTTTCCCACCCTTCACCCAAGTTAGCTTGTTCCCCCTGCCCTGGAGGCAACCAGCATTTCCAGGTGAGAGTGCACCTTGTATGTCCATAAGCAAACACACAGACACACACAGACGTACTGACACACACAGACGTACAGACACACACATGCAAAATAGTTTTTTGCCGTCCAGGTGATAGCATGCTATATACATTGTTCTGCCTCTGCTGTTTCACTTAATATATCTTGGAGTTAACTTATTATCAACATGTACAGAACATTCTCTTTCTTTCAGCTGCTGAGTGTTCTATTCCATGGATGCCCACTATTTATTTAACTGGTCTCCTAGTAGTAGACATCGAAATAGTTTCTAATTTTTGCTTTTCAAACAATGGCACAATTATTAAACATGCTCAAACATCATTTTGCACACATATAAATATACGTGTAGAATTGGGGAATGGCTATTAAAGTAGATTTGCAATCCGAATTTTAAGGAGTCAGTGTTACTTTTAAAAAAATCCAAAATGTAGTGTTACCCGATTGACTATCCATATTATTAACCAGATTTCACTCTAGATGGCCTTTGGCTCTTCCTCCAAATCAAAATGCTCCTCAAAGAACAGAGATCTGAGACCACTGAGAATATTCAACAGAACTACCAATGCCTCTCGAGGCTGTCCCCCAAAAGAATCCAAATGCTATCAACATCTGTAGCATCCCCCGAATAAGTGGAGTATTTCCGGGGACTATTGCCGTGGTGGGGGGATACTCCTCAATGTCACGGATATTTCCAAGTATTTTGAACAAGATTTACCGAGTCATAACCATAGTTTGCTTAAAACCCAGACTATAAGGATGAAAAGAAGATGGCCTTGCCGTCAAGAAACCAATGGTATAAAGTGGCGGGCAGTTCTCAAAGTGTGGTCCAGGGACTCCCTGGGGGTTCCAGAGATCTCAGAGGGTCGGTGAGGTCAAAACTACATCCATAACAGTACTAAGACGCTAGTTGCCTTTTTTATTGTCTTTTTTTTTTTAAGATTTTATTTATTTGAGAGAGAGAGAGAGAGAGAGAGAGCATGAGAGGGAAGAGGGTCAGAGGGAGAAGCAGACTCCCTGCTGAGCAGGGAGCCCGATGCGGGACTCGATCCCGGGACTCCAGGATCATGACCTGAGCCGAAGGCAGTCGCTTAACCAACTGAGCCACCCAGGCGCCCTTTATTGTCTTATTTATGAGACACTGAGTCACTCTCAGTCTTTCTCAAGTGTACATAGTACTTTGTACTCAAGTGTACTTTGGAGCTTTCCAAAGGCTACCTGCCGTGTGATAGGGCAACAGACTGAATGCAGAAACAGATCTGAGAATCTAGCTCCCGTTTATCAAGCCAGATATTAATAATGAAATTGGCAAAAATGTAAATCAATGCCTCACTTCTCACTACATTTTTCATGTTTTGGAAAATATGGTTATTTTCCATAAAACTTATTTATGTTAGTACAAAATGGTTTTAGTATTATTTTTTAATTAAATTAAATAGTTAAAAAATTTCTTGGTGGGGCGCTTGGGTGGCTCAATCTATTGAGCGTCCATCTGCCTTCGGCTCAGGTCATGATCCCAGGGTCCTGGGATCGAGCTCCGAGTCGGGCTCCCTGCTCAGTGGGGAGCCTGCTTCTCCCTCTCCCTCTGCCTGCTGCTCCCCCCGCTTGTGCTCTCTCTCTCTCTCTCTCTGTGTCAAATAAATAAATAAAATCTTTAAAAAAAAGTTCTTGGTTTTCATCTCTAAAATGGTAAATATAAATAGATATAACCTGCATAAACAATAGCTCTTTGGGTTCCTTAATAACGTTTAAGAGTGTAAAGGGACCCTGAGACCAAAAAGTTTGAGAACTTCTGGTCTAGGGACTCATGGTGTTCCTTCCCCAGAGAGTGGGAGAGGGGTATTTCTGCAAGGGGTGCAAACCACAAGCCACAGGAGAAACAGACATGGCCATTCCCAAATGGCAGTATACGTCAAGGACAGAATCTTTTGGAAGAGAAAATTCTGCAGGGCCTCCTGGCTAGCAATGCGGCCGTTGTGTAGACTGCCCTGCCAGAGCGGGGAGAGCCCAGGGGGGTTCTGAAGGTGGGGGAAACATGGCTCTGAAGTCGGGGAAGCCTGGAGAGGAAGAAGAAGCACATGCCAGGCTAAGCTGCTGACCGCCTCCCACTGAAATTCCCAGGGTCACCTGCCCTGCCCCGAACCCTTCCTCGCTGGCTGCTCCTGCCTGACATTCCAAGGCAGTGTTTCATTCCCTTAGTCAACAGGCAAATTCACTCCAAAACAACTCCGAGTGTCATTCGAGCTGACACAAATGTATAAATAAATTTATGGTTATTTAGATAGATTAGAGGTTGCACTTTTATTAATAAAACAATGGCAGGAGTGGGGTGGTTGAGTGGGAGGGAATGGGCGTGGAGTAATATAGGAGACCAAAAAATATTCCATAAATAAACCATGAGAGCCATGGGCAGACTCAAGGTAGCAGAGTGCCACCAACAGAAGGACTTAATCAAGCTAATTCCGGGCAGAGTTAGGGAGGAATTGGACATGGCCCCGGCTCGAAGAGTGCGATCCCAGCTCCCCCTCCCACCCCAAGGAAGACAGCCAGTGACCCCAACAGCTGCTGGAACCAAAGGCAGGTGTGGGGACGGTGTTAAAAACGATGTACAAACAAATAGCTCTTGGATCAGAGAGGAAGGACAGTTTGTTTCCAGCTTGGGTGACAAGGCAAGGCTGGTGTGGGGCTGGGGGAGGTGGCGCTTGTGCTGGTGCTGGACAATGGGAAGATAACTGGGCAGTGCTGGGACCACGGACAGGCCAGGGTGCTGCGAGCAAAGTCCGGCCACTGGAACGTGCTGTCACGCTTCCCTCAGTGAATATCTGAAATCATTGAAAACAAAAGGTCCGCCGGACCCCTGAGGAGGAAGGGAAGCTGTCGCCTAGGATAGTGGAAGGAAGGAAGGACAGAACCTGGGAGGATGGGGTACAGGGAAGACCGTTCACAATCTTGACTTCAAGAGCCCTGTGCGGACCAAGGTCATGTCTGATTTGATTTATCTACCCAGAGGGGAGGCCAGTGCCTGGAATGGAGCAGGCCCAAGTAAGTGCTTGAGGAAGGGATGGAAGGTTGGACACATTCCTTTTCTCCAGGCTGGCCACCGATGGACGTGTTGCTGTCATCAAGCGGGGTCAGCAGAACGGACGAGGGCCAGAAGGAAGGAAGATATTTAAGCAAGCTTCCTCCTGGCTTCCTCTGAAGTAAATATTCTCACCATTTCTGGGACTTTAACTGTTTTTTTCTGGTTGTTTTTGCAAAACTTCATTTCTCAGAATAGAAACCCTCTGTGCTCTTGAGGTTTGTGACAAGGCCATTATTGGTTGGAGGTTGCTTTAAAGACCATCTTTAGGCTTTCAGTTTGCACAGTGGCTTATTCAAAAGCCTCAAACAATTGCCTTAACATTCACTTCCTAAGAAAATCAGGATGTCAGCCTCTTGGTTGATATTACTTACTCTCATTTGTAGATGGGGTGACTAAGGATTCCTAGGGAGTGGTGAGTGAATTGCCCAAGGTCACAGCAAACAGCGTGACCTTCATCCAAACACAGGTCTGACTATCATGTAGCCTCTCCTGCGTTTCTTACACAGGTTGTTTTTATGCATGTAGGAGCGTTCTATTACCTGTAATGGCCACATAAACATCTAGAGTAGTGAAGGGCGGTTGTTCAGGTTGTGTATTACTCAAGGGCATGGCATCTAAGTGAACTACCCACATCATAAACATCATCATCATTTTGAATTTTTTCAC